GGCTTATTTGGTTCCGCAATTCTTTACATAATCTCGAGTTTTACATAGTTGCATTAACTCTTTCTTGGGCCATTCTTTTGTACACAGAAAAAGCAGGAAGTAAAAATTTAGCTAAATATAGATTTGAAAATAATTTTGTTAAACTATCAAAGTGATTATATAGGACGCTCAAACTGATTGCTAGAATATCATATTTTTTTGCAACGTTGCTCATTATGTTTGAGTTTTCTACATAATTATTTTGATGGTCTAACAAAATTGTTTCAGATCTAACTAAAATTTTAGATATTTTACCAAATTTATTCTTTCTGTAACAATAGTATAATGGTTTTTAGATGTATTCAGAAAAGTACAATTTTGTTTTTATCAAATTTTTGCCTCTCATGTAATGAAAAAAATCTTTCACAAAATCAATAATAAAAATATATTTTTTCTATATTTACAGGTAAAAGCCATTATTTTACTGATATTTATCACAGGTATGTTTTAATATATATTATATGTCGTACTACAAAAGAAAAAGTATCAGATTTCATTTGAATGATGTCCTTAACATACTTTGTACGCGCAGGTTACTTAAGCATAATACGTTCCAAATTAATAATGCAACAGTTATTAATTCAACCGACCTAATAATTACAACCCAAGTTGATTATTCACAAGATGTACCTTAGATCTAAGCACCAGCTTAGCAAATTACATTTTGCGTGCGGGTTTAGATAACATCCTGTTACAAATAGTAAATGCAAAGTGTTAATATGTTAATGATAACTAGAACCATGAAACATGTAGTGGAATCGTATACTGTTTTCGAAACTAATAGAAACAACCACCATCTTGTGGTGAACGTGAAATTCAACCGTATTATATAAGGCACTCATTTTTCCTCTAATAATTTTCACAATTAAGTTAACATGTTTTTACTATCCAAGTCATTGAGTTGGAAATATTTCAAAGTTTAAATTTTATGTGTAAAAGTTACTTAAATGTCTTGATATGAAATATTCGAAGTAATATATCTACAAGATTAGATACATAAATTTATTATGCAAACATCGTTATTGACTGTTGATTTGCATTTTATAGACATATATAAAATATGTTCTATTTTATATTGTATAAATATAAAAGTTAAAATATTTTTCTATACGACATTTGAATTATTCTTATAAAATTGTGAATTCATTCAGATATTTGAAATGTTTTTATTACAAATTCTATAATAAACATTATGTAGTATTTATTTAATGTAATTTATATTTAGAATTGAAAGAGAGAGAATATGAACAACATTGAAATATTTTAGAAGACAGAGAGAATTACGAATTATACATAAACAATATAATTTAATTATATATATATATATATATATTTATATACCATAAAAGATATGTCTATGTTTTCTTTCTGTTGAACTATCTCTATTTATATGTAAAAAAAAATGATGAAAATTGAATAATAACTAGAAGAATGATTTTGGCACTGGTTTTTTTTTATAAAAAATGTAATTTGAAGAAATAAAAATTTATATATATATCATCAATAATATATATAAAATAATATATAGATATTATTTAATGTAATCACAATTTTATTTTTTGTGAAGAAAAATAATGTAAAAGTTATTTTTCTAATTTTTTTTGTATATAAATAGAGATTTTACAGAGATTAACACAGAAAAGAAAACATACATGAACATATTTTAGATATATAATTATATTTGGTTATATACATATATCTTTTATCGGAAGAAATAAAAAAAACACATATTACGTCTAGATAACTTTTATTAACCAATATACTCGTGTATCGTTACAAATGATGCGGCAACGATGACGTAACTCGGGTTACAATGAAACTGGTTTTTAACGGTATACAATGAAAATAGGAATCGATGAATGAGCGAATTGATGAATTTACAGACGTATTCGTCGCTACTCGACATTCGAAGAACTGCTTACACCACAACATGTAATTTATACTTTTACTGTATTTTATTTTATTTTATTTCTTTGTGTTCCGCCTGTCATTATCGCCTGCTCCGACGAAACGTTAACTTCTTCCGTTCTGTGCCTTCCATTGTCCTCGCTTCCTCCTCGATGTGTCTCTGGTAAATCCATGAGTGATGTCACTTGTGCGCACGTGTATGTGTGTGTGTGTGTGTGTGTGTGTTATGTATTTGTGTGTACATTCTGTTACTTAAAACTGCGTGTATACGTGTACAAACTGTAATTATACTCGAAGACATCGAAAACTCACTACATTATGTTAAATAATAATGCGTCGCGGATTTGCTTCCGGCACGCATGCAAATTCCTTTTGTTCTTTCTTCATCTGTTTCTTGTGGATTCGCGACTTGGTGAAGTTATAAAAGTATATACCAAAGTTGCTGCAAATGTACTATGCAGCTCAAAGTGCGTTCCACTTCACGCATGATGCTCGTAATGTATCATTTTATCCTAATTGTTCACTGAATATTAAAAAAGGAGAAAGTGATACATCATGCGCATTATGCGTGAAACGAAACGCATTCTCAGTAAATATAAAACATAATTGAAATAAAATCGCACGCGCGCTATGAAAGAAAATCTCGGTTGCTTGCACAATGTCGATTAGTATATATTAGATTTATAGATTTATTAAATTTATAATGTCATCAGTTATCGTGTGATAAATATACGCGATTTACATATAAATAAAAACATATATAATAAATAAAATAGCGTTTGTGCGAATTTGCACGAATAACTCTATGAATGTAAATAAACGCAAAAAGAAGTAAATTAACACCATCGCACAATTTGCAATTAAATCAGCGAATCTCAATTGCATTCATTTCGTTGGCCCTATCGCAAATCCGCGACTCACTAGTTAGGCTTACGGCTACTATCGAGATATTGATGTACATATACAAGAGAATCGTGGGTTTTTCTCCTTACAACACGGGTTAAAGTATACAAAGACGTTGTTTGCCGAAGAAAAACGTTTCACGTGTTCTTCCGTTCTTCTTCCTTCCGTCTACCTTTTTCTCACACACACACTCTCTCTCGCGCTCTCTCTCTCTTCTCTCACTCTTCAATCACGCATACGTATATTGGAACTACGCACTCGTTCACATTTTTTAAACGTGGAAGGGTTTCGGTTTCATATATATCTTCTTTATAGCTTTTCTCTTTACGGAAAATCATCAATTAAGGATTGCTGGTTCTCTTTCTGCATTTGCGCGTATCTTTCCTCTGTCCTTCTTAGAATCCCTTCTATCATTCGTTTCGGCTTTGTTGGTCCGGTGTGGCAGTGCCTTGTTAATTAATTTAATTTTCGCAATGAAATCTCTCGTTATGCTGTCGCCGTGGTTTTGTCCCTTCTGTGACGTAATTGTGCAGAGTGTTGACGAAACGAAAAGGCTTTCAAAAATCTCTACAAATAATTAAAATTTACCTCTCACAGAGTTTGTGACGACGTGTTTTTATAATTAATTAACAACTTAGTACACACAATTTTAAAACATTAATTTAAAACACACATTAAAATACATTAATTTAGCTATAATTAATATAGATTATTGCGCATACAAGCTGATTCGTCTACTTTCTTCTAATTAAATCTAATTTTCTAATTAAATAATGACTGAAATATGAGACATGCACGAGTGTTGTTTTGATTTATAGAAGTTCACAAACGTTATAATCTTTGTACTGATATATACATTTTTTCTAACAATAAGTTAAAATGCATATTGTGTACTTTTTGCCACACGTATAATTCTAGAAAATCAGCTTATATACTTTCAGTAACTTTGTATATATAATTAAAATAGCAGTTAAAAAAATATTAAAAATTTGTTGAATCACTCTGTTGACAATGTAATGACATTCGTTTCATAGACACTCTGCTGAATAAATAATTTGCTGACGAAAGAGTAATTATTATTTACATGTCGCACGCAACACTTCAACTGCAGTTGCGTACATCAAAATTAGTACAAGTCTTCATAATATATATATATATATTTATATTTATATTTATATCTATATATATTTGTATTGTGTTTACTTTTTAATATCGTCTTTGGATTATAATTACGTTTAATCGACTGTAAGCTTGTGGTGCAACAATATTTCTCTCATATTTCGCGCACGGAGAGAGCGCGTTTCTTATTATTTATATTATTTCTAATAATTAAAATTCAAAAGCTAAAGACGTCGACTGGTGTATAATTATGATTTCTGTCAAGATTTCGAGCATGTGTCTTGTGTATTATTGTTTTCTCATTGCACGGGAAAGTTTTACTTAATAAAATTTACGTATTTATAAATTTTATTAAATAAAATTTAATGTGTGCTTTATATTTCTCAGGAGAAGGGAGTATTTTCACAAGGATTGTGGAGGAATTCACAAAGTATAGTCTCTATACGATGAACGTTATCTTTTCTCAACGATCTACATACGATATCAATAGCGAAGTAAATGCGAAAGATCGATATCTCTTCGAGATAGGCTTAAACACTAATCAATAATGATGAGAATAATTATCTCTTACATTTTGCATTTGTAGTGTGCGAGCTCCTCTATTCACGTGAACCGATTATAGTCTTCATTTCTTTTCTATCCCCCCCCCTCCCCCAGAAATTCTCTCTCTTAACTCTTTCAGGGGCTGAGAAAGTCAGCGTATTTTGTGCAGGATCTCCGAAAGAGAGAAGCAGTACTAGAGCGAAACTTAGGCACTGTAGTTCACAAATTAAACCACATCGCACCAACATAGAAACGCACAAATGTCGTGGCACCTAATACATTATACTGTGACTTATACGTGAAGTACACAAGCTGCACCGTCGCCCCTCAAAGAATTAAGCCATTCATAATGGAAATCTTTGACGTTTAAAAATCGTACCGTCTGTCAGAATAATTAGTTGAAAGAACAAATACGTACGAATCGCTTTTCGCCGAAAATAAGCCTTTTTTAACGCAAAAGTCATCAATGACTTCCTTCACGCTGCTCTTACGTACGTTTTAGTCACACAATCTGCAATCTGCATCATAGAGCGTAACTTCCGCTTACGTTCGTGAAAGCTTTTCGAGTATATGCCATTCATTCGGAGTACTCGGTGAGTCTGAAACAAAATATTCTCTATACACTATCGCTCGTGTTGGCTTCGAACACGGGTTTCCTTCCTCATTGACTCTTCGTACAACGTTGTTGTTTAAATGTGCGTCTCTCCGTGTGCCAACTGCTCGCGATGAAGATACGACAAAGGTACACGATGTCGTTGGCGTGTTCATTCAAAGTGAACGAATATTCAAAAAGTGTCGATAAAGGGATTCGTAAAATTTCAAAAACAATTTTGTACTCTGCGGCACGCAACGGGAAACAACGATGGAGATCTTGCATTTGCAAATGTCCCTTTTGAAGGGACGAATCTCTCGTTAATTGCACGCTCTTGAATGCGAGGAAGCACTCGCGATTTGAATGAAGCGTTTCGAGAACAAGAGGATCTTTCGCGAGACTGAAACGTCGTTCGATTTGCTTTCGTTAAGCAAACAACGCCGCGAAATTATATCCTCTTCTTCGTCGAGCCTCTTTTGAAATTTCTGCAGTTAAACTTCGACCGCGAAAAATGCAACCACGACCATTTCGCTCGTTTCATTTGCGATGATTATGTCACACGTTGTGTGTATTGATGAATAAATCTAAGAGCTCCGCTCATACTATCTTTTACGATCGTGAAATTATTTCAATAAAATACGGAAACGAAGCCGTTTGCTTCGACGGTCAGCTAATTTGATACGACGAATTCTGATACCAAATTAATTAACGTCTCGTAAAATATACGTATATCGGAGAGCGTAAACTAAACACGATGAACTTAGAGGCTAATCTCATCCGCTAAATATCGATGACTTATAAAAATATTTAAGTATTTACTTAAAGATACGTTAACGTACGAATAGAAGGAGATTCGCCGCCAACGCCGACTCAAGTTTTCACAAAAGTATATCACAGCGATCCGACATATCCATAATGAATGAAATAAGAAAAATTCCAGGAAATATATCGAACAATTTAAATCCCCGCGAGTGAACCGAATTGTCTACAATGCTCTTGATAATGCGCAATGGGGCGAGGGTACATATACGGTACATATAACGTTATACATATAAAAGTAGAAAATTTAGTGGCAGTATATAGAGATCGTGTAAGGTGAGAAACGCGGTGAAGGGAAATGCGTACGCGCTAATATTTTTGTTGTTTTGTGCTTCGTTTACGCTGAGATTGGCGAAAGCCTGATTGACAAGATATTTGTCGATCGTCCAGATGTCATTAATCCGTCCTTCCCCCTGTTGTCTCTATTAATCAATGCTAACAACGTAAAAAAAAAAAGAAGAGAAGAAATACAACGTACACAAAACAGGAGACAAAGAAATAGTAATTTTTTGTGATTCGGCACGATCATATCTAGCTCCACTTTACGCGAAAGCTCCTCTTCGAGGATGTTAGATCGACCTTGATTGTATCACTGAAGTGCCTCTTCAGATGTCGATAAAGGGTTTCTCAACGAGATATATCTTCAATTTCCAACTTGAATTCTTGGAACTGTTTAACAATTATCAACGACTTGGATATCATCCGAAGATTTCTTCGTGCAACAAGCGTATTAAACACGCTGTATATGTTCGTTTATTTCGGCTGATCCGTCATTTTGCAATTTTTCCGTCCGTCGACCTTCTCAATCGATCTTTCACTCTTCCCCTCTCTCTCTCTCTCTCTCTCTCTCTCTCTCTCTCTTTCTCTCTTTCTTTCCTCAATCTTCACCTTTTTTTCGAGACCTGAAATCGATGTATGTGATCGAGGTCGTCGAGCATCCTGACCTGCTTGTGCTCGCTCTTTCGTTCCAACCGACGATCACTCCGGACGATTGACTATGACGGGACTCCCCGCTCGTCTACTCCAGACGCGCCTTGTAGCTAGTCTTCCAGATCTCGGCCAGCGTCACGGCGCTGTGGAACCTGTGGAAGATGCACAGTGGCAAGGTGACCCTCTGCACAATAGCCCAAGCGAGGAATCCGTAGAAATCAAGCTGCACCGGATTGGCGATAACCTTCTGGGTCTCGAAAGTGTAGATCATAGCAGGAAAGTAACCACCTGTCTGCCGGGCTTGCTGCGATCGTGTTCCGGCAGGTGAACTCGCCTGCGCGACACATCAGCGATGAAGAGCATCTGAAGGACCACCTGAGCGACCGAAAGCAATCCCGTCACCATCACCAGCAGATTCGGCTCGTGCGTGAAGGCCGCTAGGGAACCAGCGATCACACTGAAGACGGCGTAGACGAAGAGACCAAAAGCGGAGACGCGTAGGAGGATGTCATTGAGGTCGCTTTGCTCTTCTGCCTTGAACTTGAGGCTCTGCACGCGAATGAAGCCGATGATTATGGCGATGATAGATAACGCCATGAGGATGCAGTGAGACACATCAGCGAGATAAATCGCGAGCAATCCGAACTCCGGGTGATGGATCAGCACGAAGAACAGTATCAGGCATATCAGGGAACCAACCAGAAGAAGCAGACCGAAGAAGAGACCTTTGCTTGCTCCAACGCAGTCGACTCTAGTGTGACCTGATAATATCTTTTATGACAACTCGATTCTCGAACAAATAGAAAATTATGTTCTTATTTCTAACAAGATACAGAAAAATTTGACCTAGTATATTCGAAATAAAAAAGATTATGATATGAAAACTACCTGCATGAGCAAGAACGACAGCTCTTCGTGATAGCATAGCCTCCAAACGACGTTCAAGATCAGCCTCTGCCAGATGAGGCCAACGCGGATGTCGGCCGATATGCTTCCACATGACGTAGATCACTGCTGCTCCAATCAAACTGTACTCGATTATGAATGGAAATAGATATGGCGCCGCGTCCTGGACGATGGTTCCCATGATATTGACGCGTCCGCACGAATTGGATACCGTGCCATCCTCCGTTAAGGCTTCCGCGTAAATACCTAAGTTCGGACTCCAGTAATCACTGCTATTTGTCAAATTGCTCATATCAAAGATCTGCGGTACCTAAAAGAAAGAGGAAGAAAAACTTTAATCTCAGCGCTCACTGCCTTAATGATATTGGTCCTGTTCAAACCAATCGAAGTAGCTGGCTCGTCGAGCGATTGAATGTGATTGATTGAATCCATAAGTAATAACCAATTATGTTCAATCGCTGGACGAACAGGCTAGCTTTGTCAACTTGAACACGTCTATTTATTCATAGTGATGTAATAAAATATAGTTCATACTTGATTGTCTATGTCACTCTGTGGCGCGGTGTTCAGTAGTTCTATCATCTGCGACCATAACGTAGTAGTGGACGGCGTGGTAGTTGTGGTAGTGCTGGTGCTCGTTGTAGTCGGGATGGTGGTGATCCTCTCGGTGGTTGTGGTAGTGGTGGTGGTGCTGGTGGTCGACGGTGTGAACGTAGTCAAAAGAGTGGACAAAGTTGTCGCCGCGGTGGTCGTCAGATTAGGCAACGCGAAAGTAGTGGTCGACGGCGTTGTCGACGGGGTCGTCCAAGTGGTGGTTGCAGAGGTGGATGTTGCAGACGGCGAGGTGAACGCATCCGCGATTGATCTAGCTGTCGTTGTCATTACGCGACCCAGAGCAGTGCCGACTGTCACAACCGTGCTGGTGACGGTCGGCGCGACGGTCGTTGACCTCATAAGAGGAGCCTCACGCAATTGCGCCATGTCGCGCGGCTCGGTTCCCAATATGGCCCCTGCGTTTCGCATCGAGTGCAGTTTGATGCTCTCTACAAATGTCAACACATCAGCGTATAATCGCCAGTACTTGAACTCAGCGTACCACTGCTTCGACGGTTTAAAACGACGGTACTGATTAACTCTGTAAATGTAGATTACTCTTACTAACCGAGAATCCCAGCCTGAAACTGGCCTAGTTTTTTGTGATACTGAGTGATCTCCTTGAGACTCTCCAGAACCAGCGTGCGTATCCATACGCAGAGATTTGTCGCGACCACGTGCATCAGACCAAAGCGAGCGATGACTTTAAAGCGATGAATGTTCAACTGCGAAGAGAATATCATAATGTGCATTTTTTAAGTTCTTTCGTCTTTATCAGTTTGTTTTACAATTTCAAATACGTACTCGAGAGTTCATGAAGATAAAGTACATCTGCATAAAGGTGAAGATCATTTGCAACACCGGATTAACGCCTTGTAGAATTTGATAACAAGGTGATGTAGGTGGCACCTCGAAGAACGCACCGAATTCCAAACCGTTGTATACCATAGTACCAAGTCCAAACGCTAATAAATTACATTTAATTAATTTATTGATATTATTTGCATCGATTATTCAATTGATGCAAGAATTGTTAAAAAAAAAAACAATTGTCCAATGTTACCGAAAATTGTGGACTTACCTATTGCACCAATTCTGAGGAAAAAACTTCCATGGCTATGATCATTTTGCGAAGTCTTTCGTTTTCGCAAGACTCGCGTAGCAACACCAGCTTCAACATCGGCTGAATCCTAAAAAAAATAATGCCAATAATATAGTTAAAATATATTAGTTCGTAAAAAACATTATCTCAGAAATTTGGAATTTAATTAATTTTACATTAGAAAATTAAAGGATTAAAGAATTAAATCATAAAAAATAATTAAATATAAATTTTTATTAAAATTAATTATGATTTTTGATAAAGCGACTGAATTGTATTATTTGTCAGACTTAAAAAAAATTAGGCAAAAATATTTGAAATAAAAAAAGCAGTTATTAACACACATGTTGAAAGGATCTGCGTAACTTATTGTTAGATACCACGTTAATTAAAATATATTTTGCGGATAAATATATCGTAACCTGTTATAATATAATTTTCCATATAATTTGTGCAGTCTTTTAATGGTATATAAAATATTAATTACATAATTAAAATTGTATTAATTAGCTGTATATATTTTTCTATATAATGTTTTTATATTAAATTTAATTTTTCATGAAAGATTAAAGATTCCTTGTGAAAAGCTAATATTTTCAGAGAACCTGAGTAGTTGCTTCTTTTTTCTTCTTATCCTGCTTCTGATCCTTTTCTTTCTTATCCTTTTTCTTATTCTTGTCTTTAGGTTCCTTAGGGGCCCAACCAGTTTTGGGTGGTCTCGGAGGCGGTGGCGGCGTATCGCTTCCTCTCGCACAGCAAGCGCTCTCTTGAAGGAGGAAGCAGAAGACATACAGCAGGAACAGAATACTCATGCCATAAAGGTATGTGAAGAATCCCTCGTAATAGTACAACGGCAGTTTGTGCGTCACTACTTCGCTTATCACGTAAGCGATGCACACGACTACGAGTAGCTTCGAATAGATGAAGCTCATGATGATGAAGAGCGACGTTCTGAAATCAGAAACGATATGAACGTAATAATACGAAATATGACACCTGACAGATGATAGTCAATCTACATTGTAAGAATCAGTTACATCGACAGATAAAAACTTCATCGGATTATTTTGTCGTATCAAAAATATCATGTTCGAATAATGATCTTACCCTTTTTTTTTAACAATTTGCACTCTGCTACCCCGTCGTGGCAGGGTGTCCTTTCTGCCTGTTTTATTATCGACGAAAGGTACAACTTCGACTTCCATGATGACTTTTATTAAAAATTCTGAGATAATTTTTAAAATTAAAGATTTTATCTTCTCTTTTAAATGAATGCTTATACAATTGCTCACACAGAATCTTCTAGTATTGCACAATCATTGTTTAGATAAATGTTTTGCATTAATTGGTTTTGTTTTTAACTAATTAGTTGTTATTAATTTAATTGTTATTAGCTATTTATTATAGCTCTTTTACACGCCACTTGCATTATGCCCTACTTTGATAAATAATGAACGTCGATTGTTGTGCTCGTTGATCGTGCAAGTCGATTCGCACGAATGTCCTATTTCTGTTTTCGCCTTTCAATCATAATGACATTCGAGCTCATTGAATTTTCATTGTTTTTACGAAATATAACTATCCGTGTCCCGGATATTCTATTCAATCTATACGCGTATTCTAGCTTATTTTTTGATAATCAAAAAGGTAATAACAAAATTGTCAATTGAGCAATCGAACAATCGAGCAATCAATTAACTATTATGACTATTTAATCTATTATTTAAACAAAAATTTTTTTAAATTACACATCGCAATCTATATTTGATAAAGAATACACTGACACACAAGCTTATTCGGCAATACACCGTTCACCATTAATTAATTGAAAATAATACAATTAAATTGACATTTGTGCAACACAGAATCTGGACACTCGATGGTATTTTAAAAATTAGTATAATAGTTTTGTTAATTTCGGTCAAGCACTGTTTGATCTTGGTACGAACTTGATTCGAGTGGCACGATTAATCGAAACGCAGCGAAGCGGTTGATCTTCAATAACAGTTGACCTGGTGCATTCGCTTTTAATCGACGAGCATGACTGCCGCTCGAACATCTCGGACGTACTTATCCGCGCTTCTCATCCTCGTTACGCTCTTTTTCTCACTCAAAGGTTAGGCGGCGCAATCGATAGTCTATATATAATGCCGGTCGCAAACTCGGTGCGATCTCACTGGGAATCAATCGCGCGGGAAATGAGGCTTTTCCACGGGAAAACGGGGCCGCGCAGCGCGCACGCAGGAGGGGCCGCATCGCTCCGCTTTGCCTCGCTCCGCTCCGCTCCACTCCGCTCCACTCCGCTCCGCGCAATGCAATGACGCCCGCGCGCCGCCCGCCGACGACACGTATGTATGCGATGCGTCTACGTTCACGAGAAGGGCTTAACCGCCCTTTGTCACCGTGGCATTTCATGGGTTGGGGTGTAGACTTTATTGTGTCCCACACGAGCCTGTACACTCGCGTCAGGGATTTTTTTTTCTCCCCGGATGCACGTTAGAGCAGAAGCGGTGATATTTTCCGTCTTACGAGAGCGTGAATCGCAGTTTTTATTTAAAGCAGTCGCTTCTGTCATAATTTATTACATAAAGGGTAACAAGGAGTCACGGAGGGGAGGACATTCATGTGATCATTTGCTTTTAACGATCGAATTAAAGACTTTATTCAGCGAAAATATAGCTCATTTTTTATTTTTTAACATTGTGTATTTTTATAATTAAATTTTAATTATAAAGGGAACCTCGCGGAGTGTCAAATTTTCATTTTAACCCTTGGCTACAGCAATGGATCATTTGAGTTTACAGCGAAAATTTTTTGACAATTGTACAGTCTATAAGATTAGTACTATGAGTTTCTAAATTGTAGATAAAAAATCGCTATGAAGCGAAGGTTTACTTGCACTCTGTACTTCAAACAGGACGCTTTAGAATTTATGTGTAATTTTCATAGTTGTAATTGAAGGTTAACGAATCTCTTCGCAATATACATATGGATTACATAAATAGAATTTAAAAAATATTTGTTGGTGCGGAAACACGGTTTTAAAGGTTGAAATCATCCCTTATAAGTAAAATAGTCTTTAACCTTTTTGTTATATTTAAAAAATTATTCAATATAAATGTTTTATGCAAAAGTTTATAAAGAATGATTTTACCCTTTATATTCATTTCTGATATTTTCTAAATTCATCTATTTACGTAACCTATATGTATATAAAATTTTATTAACTCTCCGTCTTTTTTGATCAATTAAGTTTTTTACAGTTTTAGGCTCTTTCAAAAAATGAGAAAAATTCGAAGTTTCTTTTTAACATCTCTGTTACATTACCGAATAAATATTATAATTATTTGAGAAAAAGAAATTGGATTTTATTTCGAAGAAAAATTTGAGAGTGAAATTTCGCTAAAAAAAGATTCAGATTTCAGATGGAAAATTAAAATCAGAATCTAACTCACTTCGTAAGTTTTCCTTAAATAAATTTCTTTATAATTAAAATTCTTTAAACAATTCTATTAAAAGAAAATTTGTTACAAATCGATCAAAGCATCTAAGTAACCCTTTAGTTATTATATATCTTGTTTACGTCATTTATCTGTTATGTCGGCGTTTTAGTCAAGTAAGCGCATTAATTACAGTGCGCGAATTTAGTTCCTCGATATTAATTAGATGAGGAATCGTGTAACTAACCGTTCCTAATTGGATTGATCGAGCAGACTTCGCGGCTATTGTGTGCCACAACTAGGCTGGTAGATAGAATGCCTCAATGACAATAGATGAGTTTCTCGCCTTGGATGTCACTCGATATCAAGGTCTATTCGCTTCATTAGCGAACTCTCGATATTGAATCATCGAAACGCCATCTCCACAAGTTCGAAAAAATATTACGTTGGGATGGCCATGTTTTCTTAATATTGAAACAACACAAGAAAGATTATATCGAATCTTTGAATCTCGTATCTTGGGTCTTGTGACTACAGATTTTATGCAATTGAGGACAAGTTAGCTAATTACGCTCTCTCTAAAACTAAAAATGGCAGTAACATTGAAGAAAAGTATCTCGCAATCTTTTTTGCTTTACGAGAAAGAAGCAATGTTGCAGCTAGCCTTTTTCCAGTTGCGAACAAGGAGCGAACGAGAAAATGGAAACAGCGTGAACGTGGAACGGTCCAGACTGACTGGTCGATATCTCGAAGTACCTACTTTCGGCGCCGGTGCTCCTCCCTGTTTTCTCGCCCTCTTATGGGCTTAACCTCACCTCACCTCAATCCCTTTCAAGGCTCTATCTTTTCTCAAATCCTTTCAAGCGTTTCACGGCATTACTTTTTGAGAATCACACCGTTCGAGTATTCGTATTGGCCATATTAGAAATCGCGGTTTAAATCAAGAATCAATTATGCCGCATATTGTATGTAATAATATAAAATTATGGGTTGAGAATTACATAAGCGTTAGATAAATTGTATAGAGAACCGATATTTACATCTCTAATCGATAAATTCTTGTATCTGTCCCACAAAAGACCGTGTCTCTTCAAACATCTATTTCCGGCCTATTTACTTTGCCTGTCAACACGAGAGAAGCCAACTATAATAATTTTATGATTGGCGATATAATCGAGTTTCTATCGATTCTCTTTGATTATACTATAGAGGCTCTTTTACCGATTGATTTCTTGTTGCACTGAGAGAGAGCGACAGAATTTTTAACAATTGTAATAATTTAAATAAATTTTTTAGCTTGCGCGAATCAATCGTATTTTAAATTCTGTATTTCATTGCATATACACAGAAGCCGTTCAACACTTTCGCATTACCATGAATTTCGTAAAATCACTACGGCACAATTTCGCGACACTACAATGTCAAAACACAATTTTGCAAAACTGTTACAGATCACTGCACCTCGATATAAATCGTGTCTGTATTTCACAACACAAATGGAAATTTCAATTTCCGTGTTAATTAAATTTAGGATGAATTGCGCTCGCGTGAGATTTGTGGCGGCACTGTTTTGTGGCGGACGCAACGCATAGACTGCCGGTGGCATCGGCTTGAGACCACGTTAATGCAATTGCGACTGCGGCTGTGTAATCCGAGATCCACCTATTGCTTCGTCGCGAAATGCATATGGTTACACTCGTCGTCAAATCAATATTAGTCAATTGAAAAGTAGCGCGCGAACTGTCCGATTTATCCGTGGCTCTATATAGTTTTTGTGTCGACACGTCTCTGTAAAACCTTTTACCCATACATATGCATATACACACACAAACGCATATAGATGCAGATATGGATACATATTTTCCTTCTTAGTAGACGTTTGAGACATTTAAAACAGTACATAAAAAAAAAAAACAGTTTCATTGAATCTAAAAGTTTAGCTGGATACAGATCCAAAAATAATTTTATTGGACTATCAAAATAATTATATAGGACATTCAAATTGGTTACAAGAATGTCAAAACTTTTTTCAACATTGCTCATCATGCTTGAGTTTCTCACATAATTAATTTGACAGACCAACAAAATTATTTGCAAATCTGTATCTACTTATAGATTTTTAACCTTCGAATCGTACACTAGAATTCGTACCACGAAAATTTTCAATTTGCTGATAGTTGCGCATGAACAGTTGCCGCGGCTTATCCTCACTACATTAAATATGCTGTCTCATTAAATTTGAGTGATATCATTGGATATGTGAGAAAATTATACCTCAGAAAAGAGTGGTTTTAAAGAAATTTCTGTTTTAATCTCAAGAGAGACGTACAATTAAAAATATCAAATCCCAATTTGCATTTGTGTACCATTAGTAAATGCTCAAGGGAAATGTTCGGTTTGAAAGATACTTCAGTAAAATCGTTCTTTTCGTATATGTATATACGAAAAAAACGCAATGCAAGAAAGTAAATAACTCAATGTGTTTTAATATAATAAAACGCAATTTAGTAA